TTGCATGTTGGTTGAGTTAAAGCCCAACTAAACTATAAATTGGGCCGACACAATAGAACTACATTGCGTCTTTATTGGTCCGTTCTGATTAGCTAATGTATATAGAGAGAATTTTCAGCCTACTATCCAATGCCATTTTTATTGCATATATATATACCTTGTATAAATTAGGGTAAAGCCCTGATTTTATTGAAGAAGATGAATTTGACATTGACGAGATGGAAATTAACAAAGATGTTGAAAGCAATGAACTGATTGCAAAAAAAATGAATGACAAAACCGACCAAGTCGACATTCATGATAAAAAAAGGTCAAGGCTTAACAATAAGCTTCAAAATCTTGTGCAAAGACGAGCATATGTTTTGTTTAGCATTAGAATAATTTAAGTATATGTTAATTTATTTTGTAGTTAGTATAATTTTAGTAGATGTTTGTTTTTATTTACATAACATTTATCCATCTAGAAAAAAAAAAGAAGAAAAATGAATGACAGAACCGACCATATCGACAATTATAAGAAAAAAAAAAGGTCAAGCCTTAACGATGAGAGTCAAATCTCGTGCAAGACGAGATTTAGAATAATTTCAGTATATATTGTTTTGCTAGCCAAACATCACCATTATCGCTTCCTCCCGCCTTTGCCAAACTCGTCGGTTACAAGAAGGGCGAGAAAAACCGTCGTCCTGTACCGGCTTAAGTCCTACTTCCACCGGATCGGCTACCTCGACGCCGACCCCTCCACCAATCTCTCAGACGACCTCTTCAACAATGGCCTAGAGTCTGTTGTGTGCTCCTACCGCCACCGTTGACTATCCGCTTATATATATATATATAATGTGTGATGGGTATCTTCCCAGATCTGGAGCGAACCGGTGGAAACGGGCCCGGATATAGGACGAACCGATGAGAATAAGCTTAGATCTGTCGTTGTCACCTTCAAACCGCTACTGATCCACAAGAAAACCTGCAAGAACCCAACGCCGGAGGGGTTTCCGGCGTAGAGCCTCCGACGCTCAAATCAGTATGTGAGAGAGATGAAGAGAGCTGCTCTCAGAGAGCAGCAGCAGTAATGGAGGAGAATATGGAATGAATAAGAGTTAGAGTTCTGGGGTTACCTCAACTCCTTTATATAGAAGCAAGACATTTACCTGAAGTTCCCAAAATGCCTTGGCCGACTTACTGGAAATGTTCAAAATACCCTGGTCGGTTCGCATTCCATCCCTCCCCTAGTCAGCATTTAGATTCCTTCTTATCCTTAGTAGCTTTCCTATGATATTTCGAAGTGTATCAAATCGTCGGGGATCTATGAGCCTCGGGACTTCCTCAGTCGACTCAAGTACCCACTCGAGTCGACGGGGTCATCTTCAGCCATCGGTAGACTCTGATGTGCTTATCCTTCTTTCCAGGGAAATCGACTTATTCTAGTCAACACGTGGAAGTCGACCGCGGGGTGCCTGGACCCCTGACCAGAGATATTACAGGGAGTCTGCAAGGAGAGTCGACTTTGGCTAAGTCGACTCGGTTATTTCCGAACCGTTGATCATGTAAGCCGTTATACGACAGTGTGACTATATCATCTAGTCCCCCCCCAAAAATGACTCGAAGCGATTCTGAGCTTAAGAGTATGTTTTTGCAATTGAATGTCTCACTCGAATCTTTTCACACATCTTGTCGCCTATCGTTGCTCTAAGTCATGCCCACTTGCTATTTCGACTCGTAAAACGACTTGTCTACTCAACAGATTTCGAATTGATTGAATAAGTCTGAATCTTTTCAAATTTCAAAATTCAAAAAATAAGGTCTTGGGCATTGATAAGACACTTTCTCTTTCCACCGCTTCGTATTCCGTGCACCATCTCCACCGTTGAATCTGACTTTTAATCTGAGGGCCAGGGTTTCTCTGCTCTCCCTATAAGTATTCCTCCCCTTTTCTCGTCTTCACTTTTCGCACTCAGACTTTCTGAACTCTCTATTTCTCCGACAAATATAGCATCTTAAGCTTTCCGGCGCTCCTTTCAAATTCTAAAGTTCTTCTCAGGTCTTTCAGGACTTCTCCGTCAATCATCATGAGTATGAGTAAGTTTTCTTGGCTTTCCAATTTATTGTTTTGTTCAAAATAAAAGTTCTTTTTTCTGGGTAATATGCTTGGGGCTTCGTATGTTCATCGGTTTTTCTGGGAATTTTTGGATGAGTTTCTAGCGGTTTTCCCTTGCTAGATCTTTAATTGTAGATCTTCCCTTCTTCTTAAGTGTTTTCATTCAGTAGCTGAATTGATATATAAAAAAAAGAACTAATTCTGCTTCTCTTTGATTACCCTTGATCTGTCATCCTTGTGCCGAGTCGAGTGAAGCAGAAATGTCCTACGAATTCTTCTCGATCTTTCCTTTCTTTTATTCTTATTTCGAGTCGATTTACAAAATTTTCTCGTTCTTTTGACGACTTATTTTTGGAGTCAAACCGTAGTTATGATTATCTTTGTCTTATTCATTTGACTTTTTTTGACGACTGGCACCAGCACTGCCTTCAGCCTCGCCAACCTGAGACTGGGGCGCTTTGTTTTGTTCGTACAGTTCCAACATCTGGTTCCTAACCTCTGCAAGGAACAAAGTGTCCAATGTTTATATGAACTTTTTCGAAAATCAAAAAGTAAGATGTTTACTGCAAGCGAATCAATTGCATCATTCTGACCCATTCCCCTATTCTCCTTCCTTTTGTACAATTTATTATCTCCTAATTTGAAGTCAAGAAAATGAGATTCCGAGACAAAATTAAGCAAACACCAGGAGGTACTTTCGTAAATTAAACCTAAACTCAAGTAAGCAGAGCATGCGCGGTTTCCAGAGAGGATATACACAGTACATGATGTTGGCTGGGTAATTATACAACACCGCAAGTGTAAAAGCAACCAAAGGAAGGAGGCTAAAGGACACCCACCCTCCAGCTGGCGGGGGGTGACGTCAAACTCCTGCCACCAGACCTTCTCTCCATCATGCGGGAGCTTCACCTTCAGGAACTTGGCGGCAAGGAAAATGGCACCCGCCGCTATGTGGTGGGGCTTAAACTGCAAGCATAAGGATGTCCGGAGCCTGTATAGCCGCAGCATTCTAGCATCAAAAGATAGAATGGCGGCCATGGATAAGCACTAAAATTTCAAAAATACGACATCATACCCATCGTTCACAAAATTCCATGCTACTTGAGCTAGGGCGTTTTGGGCAACCTTAAATTTTTTTATTGCCTCAACCAAGGGTTTGTACGGGTGGTTCACATTGAGGTCAAAACCGAGTGTACCGAGAACCACCCTTTCTCCCAGCAGAATAAGTTCCTTTTGCTGTTCATATACCTCCTGAATATAGAATAGAACATCAAACTATCATTCAAAAGAATAAGACACTTGAATGACGGGGTGGAATCCAACAGGGAAAAAAAATATATAATCAAACAAACAAAATGTAAAGAAGCATAAAAGGTAAGTAAACCCCAAAAAGCTAGACGAACAAAGTACACAACCTTCTGTTTGATCCTTTTGGACAGCTGCAGGGTCTTTCTTATGTATGATTTCATATGAGACAAGAATGACATCTTTTAGAGGACGTGGAGTTTCTTCAACCTTACCCGCGAGAAACATGCATACTGTTGCAATGGTCTGTAGAAAGTACGCAAACAAAGGTATACCAGTCAGACTGTCAGAGATTCAATCATGTATTCATGTCAAAGAAGCTAACTATTTATAAAAAAAAAAAAGCAGTGCCATTGCCACCTATTGTACAGAATAAATAACACATCTACTTTTTCCTCCACATGTTGCTGAATTTCATCATTCTAGTTTATTCATTTATTTATGGCATTGGTCACAAATGACCAGTTTTTTAGTAGGATAAGCTTAAAAAAATTTATCCTTCACAGAAGAAAACTGCGGACACCAGGAAACAGCCAGACACAGGACGTGTCTATAATCTCATCCATATCGCTCCCTATGTCAACAGACAGCCAGAAACATTATAACCACCTTTTGCCCAGCATTGATGATTAATCGTTAAAATCATATAAGATGGTGTCATTTAAATACAACAGTCTCTACACTCTCCAAATCTGCCTCTCTGATCTCAAAATGAAACTTATTAGGTACGAACATGCATACTGGATTATTTCAATACAAGAGGTTATAAGCGCTCAATTCATGTTTGAGTAGTTTACAGAATACAAAATAACGAAAGCCATTAAACAAATGATGCCTCAGTCGTATTCATCCACAAACAGCATGCAAAGCAATACAGTTGCCAAGAACTTTATGGATAAAGCAAAAACATCATATGTGCAAATTAAATATAATAAAATTATTATCATAAGCATGACCACAGTCATTGTCCATAGAACACTTACAGGATACTTATCAGCTATTAAGTAATAACTTCACAAAGCAAAAATTCGGCTCACCCTACGCTCATTTTTCACATGAGACTGGCGTAGAAAAAACCGATGACAAAATATGATTGCTGTAGCAATCGTTACCTGCGGCCTGCATTATTAAAACACATCCACAAATGTATTAGCATGCAAATTTCAACTTTTACAATAATGATGAATGCAAAAAGCTCAAAACAGGAGTCAAAATCAACATAACATTATCATAGATTCAGAACAACAAGCACCATAAAGTTCGCACCAATCATATACCTACATATTTACTCTTTACCAACTATAATCAAATGTTTCCATGCATCCGAGTTATATGCATAACAAACCGTGTGACCCTGTCCATGTTAATCTATTTACTCTTTACCAACTATAATCAAATGTTTCCATGCATCTGAGTTATATGCATAACAAACCGTGTGACCTTGTCCATGTTAATCTATTTCATATGTGAATGACTAGTACCACAGCATGTCTTCACTCTTCACAAAGGAAATTGTTATTGTTACCATTGCGGCATAAACATGGATGAACATGCTTTAGAAAAACGAAAAAATAAATAAATAAATAAATGGCTCGAGAGAGAAAGGATGGAAAGGGGACACCACTAAAGAGACAAGAGGCCTAGAGCTAACATTTTTTAACTTCTACGGCCGGAGAAAACAACCTCAGCTTGGCAAAAAAACTAAAAAAAAAATAAGGAAACACGATGTCCCGGAGACAAATGCTGAATTATGCAAGCATATGCAATTTCAAGAAAAGTAACTCACACTTTCAGCCTCATGCCTAAATCTTGTAAGAATGTGCAATAAGACTTGCGTAGGTAGGTCTCTTTCTTCAAATCAATGCCATCTTGTCTAGAAGGGGAATTTTCTTCGATTTCCTTCCTAGAGAAATACCAGCGTCCACTACCTTCTTCTGTCCTTTCGTGGAAAACCTTGTGAACTCCTTCAGGTGTTCCATGAAGTGAGGGCTCACCAGCTAAGAAGCCAGCCATTTCGAACTCCTATCTCCCAACAGTACAAGACAAAGAATGCTGGAAGGTCCCTTAATAAACAAGATATATTCAGAAAACCTTCACCATCAGCAGCCTCACTACAACTGTCATAAAAACAAATTACCAGAGGTGAATGGGGATCAAAAACAGATATTTATCAATCTAACAAAACAACAGGTGCAATGGGAGAATATATTCAAATCATAAGTGAGTAAAGCAGTATACAGAACTTGACAAATGTAAACAGTACACCACAAGATCAATGAGGGAGTAAATGAAAAGTGATATAAGATAAGGGAATGGGGTGAAAATAATGGAACACTAAATCACACTTATAGGGGGAAAGAAAGCAGAATCCTCAAAATGATCAAGCATGATTATTCAAAAGCATAGGTGGTAAAAGAAAAGATTTACAAGCAGATGAGATAATTTTATCCAAGGTGGTACATATGCATGTAAGTATTATACATATGGCTCCAACCACTGAGTCTCAAAATATACAAAGAAGGTAAAATTAAGCCTCTCAGTTCAACTTATTGGCAGTTATAAGTTTCCAGTAAAGATAATGTTGGGAAAATCATAATATGAAAACAAACCAGTAACACTACAGAAAATGAAACAAGAAAATACTTATTTATTTGACTTGCTACTTGACCAT